GTATTTATCACTTTTTTTTTTTTGTCTTTTAACTAAAAAAAGTAACATTGTTTCACTTAATTTTACAAAGTATTTTTACCGTTTTTCTATAAATTTCTTGAAATTTTTGTTTCTTTTTTTAGTGGCAAACACCATTTTTTAAAATAAAAATGACACTATATATTACTTTTTAATTAAAAAGTGACATTTAATTTTACAAAGTATTTTTTACTTCCAAAATACTTTTTATATAATTTTTCAAAAGACTCCTAAATTTAGGGGTATTTTTGTCAGTTGACCATAAAGAATTAAGTAATTGGGCTTTGAACATCTAAATAAAGTGTGAGCCGAATTATATGTGTAAAGACTGAATCCATTAGGGTTGTATTTGACAATGGACCAAATACATATGAAAATATAAACAGAGTTATGGTCCCCAGTTTATGTGTGATTCGCATTCTTTGTATCATTTCATCAATACAAGAATACAAGGGAAAACATACTTAAGATGAAGATCCAAAAACCTACAATCAATAATCAAAATTGAGACAATCAAGATTATTGAGCAACAAGCAAAAATCAAGATCAAGCACTCAACAATTAAAAGAGCCAACAATCAAGATTCAAAATCCAGCAATAAGCAATCATCCCAATGAATTAAGGTATGTTTCGCATTTAATAATTCTTTTGGTCATTTGGCATACAGAATTTTGGCAATAAAGTAATTTGGGTCTATTCTCTTTACTGTTTTCAAGCCGTTTTCTGTTTTCGATTTTCCAAAACAGTGAAAATGCGTTTTATTTCCTACTTTCGAAAACGCGTTTTTGAAAACAAGTAAAAAATTTATAAAGAAAATTGAAAACGACAAATTTGTCGTTTTGGGTGTTTTCAGTTATAATCAGACCAAAATTTTCAAAACATGTTTTGGGTGTTTTCGATTAAACCACCAACAACCATCGCCATTGCCGCCTGCACATACCACCTGCACCACACCGCTGCACACATCGCCCGCGACGTCACAGCCACCACAAGAGAAGAAGTTGGTGACGCCACCACCCAAAACGACCACAGTAAAGGAAGCCCACCACGCCACCGCCCAAAACCACCACAACAGAATAAGTCGACGATGCCACCGCCCAAAAACATCGCACCAGAAGAAGCCCACCACGCCACCACCCAAAAACATCGCACGTCACCGAGCCCAAAAACACCGCATGCCACCCAAAAACAGAGAGAGACGAAACAGAGAGAGACGATAGAGAGGAGAGACGAGAGAGAGAGGGAGAAGGGGGGAAGAAGAGGGAGAACAAATTTTGGGTGTTTTCATTTTTGAAAATAATTTTTCAAATTGACAAAAAGAAC